AACTTCATGCCACTCGACTTCATCCCAGCAGCAAGTTGTCTGACGTGCGGTGAGATTTAAATGCTCGCAGATACGCCCCCCGCTCCCCCTGCATTCACACAGCGGATCACCTTCCCAAAGCAAGAGCTGAATCGTCAAAGACGGTCAGGAACAGCGGCTGCACTTCAGCTCGCTAGAATGGAGGGAGTCAGTCAAACGCAAAACGGCCTACTTGTCTCGCCCACACGGGCTTTATAATGCTGCGCAGCTGCTGCTCCACGCGCACCGGCGATTGCATCAACAATCTTCGACGGTCAACCAGGATGGAACCAGAAGCCTCACCTTACATGCAGTGAGCTAGCTTGCCTGCCCCCCCAGCAGCCAGGGGCTGGTGTGGTCGGCGAAACCCATTTTGAAAGACCAATATATGAAGAAATGAGAAGAAAACGTAGCTGTGGCTGCCATGTCTGCAGTCACTGCAGCCCTGGTATGACGCGTCTCCCGGCTCAAACCCCGGACTTGCCAAGAAGACTGCACTGGTATGGGATGGTATGGGTGTTTCCCTTCCGGTACTCAGGTCAGGAAGCTCGTGCCTGCCTCAGCTACTTCGCCACCGAAGCGGCAGAAGTGGACTGGCTCTCCCAGGAACTTGAAGCTGAGTCAAGCACCAGTCCTCCTCCGAAGGGTAGCTGTGCAGCCTGAGCGGAGGATGTCTGGCAACACTGAAAACGCAAAATCCGCCGGAGACTCTTGACGTGAACCCTTTCTTCCTCGACGAATAGTTGAGCCGGGCCACATCTGATCTCAAGTTGTGGAGATCGTGAAGGTCCGGGTATGGCCTCAACTCAAGGAGCAAGCCACATGATCGCACCCGGACCGTCCTGTAGCGACAGGGGCATGTGCCAGCGCCGAACGAGAGGCTTGACTAGGGGAGCAGCGCACCGAGTCCGCCGAGCCCCGCTCCAGGGCCAATCTGCAATGATGCATCTCGCATGGATTGGTGCAAACCATCCGCCGAGGCTTCGGAGTCCAGATTTTGTCTTCTCATCCCTCAACTCAATTTCCCAGATGACGGCGGTCAAGATGTCTGTCCATCATCTAGCATGCATTTGCAGGGCTTGAGCTTAAGTAAGCTCCTAGCCCAGAAGATCTTGCATACTGAAAATCTCGCTCTCGTCCCACGCCGTCGCTCCTTTTGCTCGTCAAAGCTTAAGCTCCCCCCCTTCTCACCGCCTTCATTCGCAAAGGTCTGCATTAGCACGCATGCATCATCGTTCTCCTCCTCATCATCTTCATCTTTCCTCCTTGTACCTTCTTTTCCCACTTTTCCCCCGCCAAGGCCCTCCACGATCTCGGCCACATCCTCATACGTTTTGCGCGGCCCCGGCCCCTCCCTCGACCCCTTTCCCATTCCTCCTACTTCTACTTCTACTTCCACTTCTTCTACTACTACTACTACCACCACAACAACAACAACAACAACAACTACTACTACTACTACTCCTGCTGTTACGATTCTCCGGAACATCGCTGCACCACCGTTGCGGTGCTGCATAACTACAAATCGCCACCCCACCGAGACCTCGGCAATAGCACACTCCCGAGCCTGGTAACCTCCTTGTCACTCCACGAGGATGGGGAGTTATGAGTGGAGTATCCGGCTGGAGATGAGTGGATCATTTTCGATGGTGAACAGCGCTGTGGCGTGAAAAACTCTCTGCAACTGCAGGCCGTACGCTTCTCCTCTCATCGGTTACACCAGACCTGTGGCCGGACTTCCTTTGACAGGGTGGTGCTATCGGCCTATGCCGTGAGTCGCTGGGAGGCCTTGCAACAGCACTGGCTGGACCAGCTGGCTGATTTGGGTTTCCACCTGCCGGACAGGAAGCACTCGGTGCGCCAGCCCAGCTTGCATCAGGATTGCATACCGCGTGTCGTTCGTGACCTAGGGTTTAGGTCCCCTGGGTCTTCGGGTGGATAGGTACCCACCCGCCTTTGTGGTTTGGTCTCCTGCTTGCTTACCTCCTTCGCTCATAAGGCGTCTCCGGAGGTGTACAGACTTAGCAGCAGCTGACCTTTTCGGTGCAGCATGGCCGGACCACTGAGCCAGACAAACATGCCGCGTTGCTGGATAAAGTCAGGTGCATGCTTATCCTTGCATCATGTAAAGCCCCCCGCTGATCCTGAAGCCAGCTCCTTGCCCAGGTGTCATGGCCATTTGCATTACACCGGGGTGTGTGCGGCAGAGCTCTGGAAAGCACCGAAAGTGCTGTCCACATGCAGTGCAAAGGTGCATAGTCACAGATGCGACAGAGCTTTTCATTCGGATGGCCGTCTGGTTATCTCAGTCTGCTTTGCGGATGGCTGTGACAGGCTTGTAAGTCAAACACATCTGCATTGCTGCTCGGACTGTCGACGCTCGCTTGGAATGGATCACAAGCCCAGCTGTAAACGACGTCAGCCGGGGCTCTCCCAGTCAAGTGCACAGGGCAATGTGCAAAGTCGTTCTTTCCTTGAGGAGCTGGATTGATTCCTTCGTTTTTCGACTGTTGTTTTGGTGTGACATGTTTGAGGGAGCCATCAACAGTATGGTGCAGCAGCAAGCTGCCGGACAAAGTCTGTCCCCTTGTCGAACGCGTTGGATCTCGCGAGAAGTCGGCAATGCAATGCTGTTACGATTGCTACGAGTACCACGGTAGTATAGCTGTTCTTGATACGACCATTGGGACCACTACTGCTACGACTACTGCTACAACGACAACGGCGACGACTATTCATTAGCACTACCATGACTAGTGACTAGTGCTGCTCTTGCTATTACTGCCACTACGTGCTGCTATTACTTCTCCAAATTACCAGTCACATTAGCGTTACTATCACTGTGTAATAATTTTGTTAAAGTCAGTCTCGCTATCACGATTACGATTACGACGCCGACGCCGACTTCTACCTTTAACTTTTCTACTGCCTCTACTACCACTGCCACGACCACTACTACTCCTCCTCCTCCAACTCCTACCGTACTGCTAGTGCTACTAGAAATCAGGACTATTACTGCTCTGAACCCCTCCGGCATCAAAAAGCTGGACCCGCAGCTTTGGTCGCAACATGTCGCAACGCCCCTTCCCGCCCTGCCCAACCAAACAGAAAACTGGCCCCCTCCTTGCGGATGGAAGTGTTTGCGGGCCTTGCAGGATAATCCCCCAACTCGACTTCAAGCCGAGTAGCATCTGTGTTGGGCTGGATGGACTGCGATTTGCTGTTACATGTAGCGCTTTGGGATCGAGCCTCGTCAGGCTCGCCCTGTCGCGTAGACGGCTTAGGCGGTGCATAGCTTGCAAGCCTTGCTTTTTGCGGTAGGACGGACGGTAGTGCCGCTCCGTGCCGGAGAACCCAGCAGAACATCGGCGAGCATCATGAGCACGCGAAACGCACGCATGGGGTGCGGGCAGGTGTCGTGCGACGGCGATGATAGCGCCGCAGGGGCACGACATCATCTCAGCGACAGGAGGAGGGCAAAAGTAAGGGGCGGGGCTGTCCCATACGAAGGCTTAGTCTAGTATCATCATAGTCTATTCCGGTATGTTTCAGCAACTCATATTATTAAGTTTGCGGTTTAAGGCTCAAGAATGAGCGTGCCTGCTTCACTGCAGTGCTATTACTATTATGGCTGCATTGTTGCTATGTAGCATTGCTGTAGTTGTCTTCGCGCTATTGCTGCCATTGCTCCGCCCACACCGTCGTCTCCTCTTCCGCTTCATCCCGCCACTGCCCCTCCTACCCGCTCGCTTTTGAATAATGTTGGCTGGACTCCCGCCCACAGTTCTGTTTGTTCGCTGACCCCCGCTCAGCCACCTCCTTCTATTGCTCTCCCCCACGCCGTTTTGGGCAATTTTGCGCTGGATTTTTGTTCCTCTCTGTGGTGCTTTGAACTTTGCTTTGAGCAGGGGTTGCGAGAATCCAGACCCATATTGTCCAAAACAGAAAGGGGAAGAGCGGGCCGCTGAACCGAGACTCTAAACCCCGCACCCAAACCTACACCCTGAAACCCTGTTCAGCTGCTGCTGGCTGGACCGAGGTACACGTAGCGGTTAAACTTCGACCATCTTCTGTCGCAAGGGCTGTCGCTCTTCAAGGCTCAGCTGTTCGGGTGCCTGTGGAAACCCGCTGCTCCAGGGATGTCCCAGCCCTCGGTCAAAACAACTCTTGGGCTTGCCTTGGAAGGTGACAACAAACGGCCACAAACTGCACCGTCCTGCGATGACTCAGCTCCAGTGCACAGGTGCTTCGGAAGGCGTGTCTTGTGCCGTCTTGCAGGAGTCTTGCTGGCTCTGAGATGAGAGCCCAGGGACTGCTGCAAACCCTGAAGGCCTGTCGACCATGGCTAGCTGCGATGCCAATCACTCAGCACAAGCTTCAAGCTTAGAAGCCGTAGGCTCAAGGCATCGCAAACAGGCAAAAGTCAAACAAGTCTGCTTCGAGTACGTCCCGGAACCTGGCAGGCCACCGAGTTGTAAGCCTCGAGTCAGCTCGGCTTTCATGGGTTGACAGAAGCACTCGACGTCACTGACACCACTCGTGTCGCTGCGAGAGCATCCAGGAAGAGACGCATGCAGCCTGGCAGATTCTGCAGGGGCGGCGTGGCGTCCAAGCTGCTTGCCTGCAATGGTGGAGACGTCTGTCCAGACAGCTGTGCTTCCCATCGCTCTGAATGCCTGTGTGTAGACTTGCGACAGTGAGCAAGGCAAGAGTAGATCTTTGGGGCTCTGCGTGCGACAGAAGGTGAGACGAAGCAATCCCGCTGTTGTCTCTTGGATACGCATGCTGCAGGAGCAGCATGCACACAGCCTCTGGGTTGCTCAAGTCTCTGTCTCAGAAAGCATGCGATGCGTGGTGTATTTTCTGCTAATAGCTCCTAGAGAAGGCTCACACTGGTTGCTACCCCTGAGTAGCCTAGTCATGCCCATGGGCTTATGGCTCATGCACTGAGCAGTTCGAAGTCACACGCTTCGACAGGGTTCTCACTTGCGTCCAGTCAGCTTCCGCCACTTTTCCCACTCCCACCTCGTTTCTTCAATCGGGAGTTTGCCAACGCAAGAACGAGCAGTTGAGAAGCTGATCACAGTTGAGCCGCTTCAGCATCCAGGGTGACTTCCATCCTGGCAGCTGCCACGGCCGCGGCTCTCGCACAAAGTTGCATTCTGGCAAAGTGTAGCCTCAGGTCATTCAGAGTCATTCAGATCTCAGGTCAATCATGTAAATCATGGACGTGGCACTGCTTGTGGAAACAAGGCTCAGGCCTTAGGGGGCAACGCGTCCAATTCCGCACGTTTCAGGTTGACACGAGCTGACCCCAGATGTATACTGTAAGACAAAACTGAAAAGTAACCGTCCGTCAATCCTCCCTGCGGGACTAACTGATGTGCATCCAGGTCTCCTATAAGCTTGTAGGCAGGCGTGAACCGGTCCTCGTCCGACCGCTCAGGCAATAGGTCTTTCTTTATGCATGCCCGGAGAATGCCACGGAAAAGACCTTGGTGCAGAGTTGGCAACATGGCGGACATGCGCTTTGTGTGATGCAACAAGCTTTGGCATGGCTGATGCGGGTTCTTTCCATATTGGGCAAGCATTACACAAACCGTCACAAGCCGCTTTCTGAAGCATACCTGCAGATCTGTAGAATGCAGAACAGGGGTTGGCAAACGTGACTGGGGATTGTCGAGCCGCGATCCTTCCGCTTCGCGGCAGTGTTGCGGTGGAGCACCCCCTGCACTGTTACCTCGTCGATTGTCTCGCCTCAACCGGAACATAAAGTGTGTACTGTAGCTGTATAGCTGCTTGAACAATGAAGACTGTGTCTTGCTTGCTTGATTGGGGTGTGGAAAGGCTTTTGGGTCCCTGGCCCGGAGGCCTACACGTCTGCGCGGGCACAGGGGTCGGTCAAGACCCCCGGGCTAGCCCACCCGCACGTTTCATGCAGGAGGAAGGGTGTGACAAAGGAGTACACTACGTCCGAAGGCTCATGCCACAAACTATGCTCTCCGTCTCTCTCTTTCTCTCTCTCTCTCTCTCTCCCTCTCTGCTTCTTTCGCCAGGGTTGTGGGCCGGGGTTTTCCCTTGCCCACAGGTTTGTGCGCCCCCGACTGTTGCGGGTGCCAATAGCATTATGTTACATGCACAGCAGATGGAGTGCTCGCAGAAAAAGGACCACGGAACACAACAGGCCAACAGCAAACCAGACAGCAAAAAACCACCAAGCCTATGCGTCACTTCATCAATCTTTTGCACTGTGCAAAATGTTTGAAGGACAAGTTTCAAGTTGAGTTCACAAGCAAGCAGAAAGTTAGGCAAAAAACATCAATCTTGCTCAACTTGAATGCTTGAAACGAAAGGGGTCATGTCTTCCTTAAACCAAACATGCATTGTGCGGTATGGCACAGTGCCTCGAGCGGAAGCGAGGAAGTAGTTATGTTTGGAAGGCTTTAGCGGCCCGTCTAGTTAATTGGCTAAGCTGGAGATGGGGGTTTCCCCGGTACGGATTGTACGTGGCCCCGTGAGGAGGCGTGGAAATGACTGAGTATGGAAGGCTCCCGCGGCCCGTCAGGATAATTGGCAATGTTGGATTGGCAAAAGCACCGCAAAGCAGGTGCAGGTCAGACCCAAATTAGGGAACACAGAACCTGAAAGCCATTTCCGAAGCAACAAGCAACAGCAGAGTAACCCACCCAGAAAATGGGGTTTTCCACCGCATGCGTTCACGGTTTCAGGGTCGGTCTGTTCCCAAATCCCAAAGGAAGGAAAAGAAAACTCTCGGGGTTTTTCCCCGTATGAAGCTACGCACTTCATGGCCGCTCAGTTGTTCTTCCGGCCCTGTTTGGCACGGTCTTCATCCGGCTGCCACTGTCCATGCTGACATTTCTGTATTCAGCGTTTGTTGCGGCCCTGTTAGCTTTCCACATATCCTCGTCAGTGTTGTACTTGTCCAGGCCCTATGGGACATTCCCCTGTGCGTCACGCTGTTGGAGGAGCCCATGTAGTCGCCTTCGTTGACCAGTAGTGAGTCTCGAGGGTGCCCCCGATGGCGAGGGTGGAGCCACATCGTTGGGGTTTATTTCCCTTACGTCCGGGCGAACCGATCCCATAGTCCTGAATTGGGCAGGGTGGGCAGCGGCGAAACGGGCTGGATGCACTTCGTTACCACACAGAGGTCGCCTGAAGGAGACCGTGAATGGGCATGTTTTTGGCTGCCGCATTTTTACCTGGAGCGCAGCCTCTCCGCTGACCACCCGCAAAAAGTCAACCTTCATCCTGCTTGGGGGACGGTGGGTACCTCATTACAACGGACTTGGCAAGGCCTTGATGTCCTATCGGCGAGCCTACTCGGATCGAGCCCTACCCTGGGTGATGGATTACCAGTTTGTCAAGTTCGTGACTTGGGCATCTTCATCGTCGAGCCTGCAGCCTAGCACAGAATGTCCTCAGAACTAAGAGGCAGCCGAGACCGCGGCGGAGGACGCTGCCGCCGGACGTCGAGGGCGAGAGAGAAAGAGAGAGAGACTTACAACCCACCCGCAGCGGCCAAGCTGCAAGAACATCGACTCGCTTGACAGCCACCTGCTCCTCCAAGGTTGTGCTGGGACTTATCCCGGAGGCCGGTGCTGCTCGTGCAATTCCAGCGGTGCGCCATGAGCCAAAGCGGACCTCCACACACCGGGGAATGCCCCCAGTACGGAGCAAGATGCTGATGAAGACCTTGCCGAGCATGCTGCGCTGACCCGCCCCCCCCTCCCCCCCCTTTTCCTTGCCCCTACGACAAGATGCAGAGGCAGAGGATGCTGACTCCACCCCGGGGGCCTCTCCCTCGGCGGCTGGACTACACCCTACCGTCGCTATCTTCGAGGATGAACACTCAGACTAAGACAACCACATGCCTCTTCGCCGACCGGATGCAAAGGCACCCTCATCCACGGCAGATGCTGCCGCTGACAACAACGAGTCTGCTGAGGCTTGGGAGACTGAGGCCGGCTACGCAAACCTCGTCGTCAGGGTCGGCTTTCCCCTCAGCCGTGGCCGAGGTCCCGGCTATGGGGCGCGCCGGGACACGACACCACACCAGGTTCCCGGTTCCAGTCTCCCCCCCTTCCCCAAGTTGAAAGTGTAGCTTGGTTGGTGGGTCGTTGATCTCTCTTCAAGTTGAATTTGTTTAAGCTCTGTGAAAGGGCGACGGTACTCGTATGCCATGGCGGGTCGGAGGAGAGTGCACAGATTTGTGGCACCGAAGGTCTTCTACGTAACTGTCTCGAACCACGTTGTGTGGCTCAAGCCGGGGGAGGGTTCCGACTTGAGCCAAGACGGCTTCTTTCTCTCTCTCTCTCTCTCTCTCTCTCTCTCTTTCTTTCTTTCCGGGCTTAGGGGTCGGCGTGCCCGACCCTCAGGCTTTTAGCCCGCCCATCCACTCAACTGTTAATGAGTGGGTGGCTTTGGGGTCCCAATGACCGCTGTACTAGGAGACACAAGGTGCTCTGTTCGTTAAGCAGGGAGCCCCAATCCCCCGAACACTAGGACCCCCAACGTGCATCCCGGCCTCATCTCCGGGCCCCTATGGCAACTGCAGGAAAGCGGGCTTCCCCCTGTTTTGTAGAGCCCCCATGCATGTGAGGGATGACTGTCAACACTACAATATTGCACAAAGAAGCAACGAGGTCATCCCCCGGGCCCGTTTCAGCCTGGCATGGAAGCTGACGAACATTGCCATATTGACATGAGCACATCCCCTCTTCACAGGTTTGGGCATGACTGGTTCCCCGGCAAACACGGTTAAAGCAACAACGCAGCAAACTATAACGGCAGTATCCCCCTGTTCATGTCATGCCCCCAAGGATGAAACTCAACATGGCTGAGTGGGCCTTTATAGTGCCTGCAGAACTCGACAGTACACAAGACGCTGAGAACAGGATTACCACTCGCTGTAAAGGGCCCCCAGGCTGCCACTCAACACTACTCAAGGTGGTGTGGTATCAGGAGTGACGTCCTCTCCTTTTATTGGAGAAGAAAAGGGCTCCCCCGACAACATAGTGAAGGGGCTCAGGTACGTCCCCCATCAGCAAAGAAAGGGCTTCCCTCGTTTCAGTAGTCGACGTGGTGCGAACTCACTTCTTCTGGAGAGCACGGCGGCGGCGTAGTGGAGGGCGGCTATCTCCCCCTGTCAGCCTCTTCCTCTTTGTTCCTTTGCTCACTCCTGCTTTTTCCCCCTCCGCCATGAGGGCTGCCACTCTAGCTGTCTTCTCCTTGAGGTTCTCCCCCGGCCGCGAGTCCATGGCAGTCTCTCTCTCTCTCTCTCTCTCTTAAACGGAACCGATGCAAGTTGGAAGTCTCGGCCAAGAGGCATGCTTCATCAAGTATGTCCTTCACCTCGTCCATTACCTTCTTGAACGAAACCCGAACTCAGCATGCCGACAGGGAATTTTCTCGTGCTGGGTCCTTGGTGAAGGGACGCGCCTCCTGGTGACTCGCAGGCTGCTTGTCTCCATATTCCAACTCAACCACGTATCGCAGGACCTTCTTCATTGCCTTCTTGTACCGGTTCCTGGGCTCTGAGGTGTCTGCAAGCCTTGCCATGCCTTGCCCGTTTCGGGGCGGTGCAGTTCGTTGCATTAGACCACCTATCGAGGTCAACTTGTGTCTGCCGAAAGCATTGTCGAAGAGCATCTGCATGGAAGCCACAGCAACTATGAAAACGAATTGGGTAGGTAAGCGCGAAGACGCAGTCAACGTCAACCTTCCGAACTCTCATGAACGCCTAAGTTCTGTGCCAGCCAAGTAACTTCATGAAAATGTTGTATGCCCGGTTTCGCAGATTGCGCCGGGCTCGATCTTCGTAGTATCGCCAGCCTGAGCTGACCACGCTCTGATCTGCGATATTCTGCGATCTGGAACAATCTTCCGCTTGAGATCTCCTGGCTGCAAGCACTTGAGTTTCTAAGGTGTTTCCAACGTCACCCCAACTGATCTCCAAGCTGCGGCGAAAGTAGAGGGTATAGCAGCTGTAGAGGCTGCGCCTGAAAATGGCAACACATCTGCGCCTGCAAGCTACAGTAAAGAAGAGACTTCTCAATACATGAGCAGTGCCTGGCCACTCTTCCGCTTTCCGGGCTTGGCGTACCTTGGAAAAGTTCTGTTCGCTCCAACTGCACTTGATGCGCGGCTTCGCTGAGAGCGTCGCACAGTGTTGCCCCTGTCAACGACGATGCATGGATGCTGCGGCGCTTCGGTGAGTTCTGCCAACAAGGAAATGCCACACTTAATGCCATCAGTATCCTCTGCTCATCTCGACATGAGCCGTCGTTGGCACCCACCCGCATGCGTGCGCACACACACACAAACAAACAAACAAACAAACAAACAAAAACACACACAACAACAAAACAACACAACCCACCCAACCACCCGCCCGCCCACACATGCGCGTGCGCGCCCCCCCACACACAAACACACACACACACACAAACACACACACACACACACAAACACACACACACACACAAACACACACACACACACAAACACACACACGCAAACAAACACACACAGACACACACAAACACACACACACACACACAAACACAAACACACACACACACACGCAAACACACGCACACAAACACACACACACACAGACAAACACACAC